ATACTCCCCTAGGTCTATGACTTGTTGCGGAGCTGCGTCGGTCAGGAGGGCCTATCATGGGGAGGTGTCGAGAGCTTATATCGGGCTCTGAAGGACGACCGGTAGGGGGATGTCGATTGGCCCGCTATAGTTGCATCAGGGGGACGACTCGTCTTGTCAAGCTCATGCGTTCGATCGGGTTGGAAGCGAGATTCACTGAGCTTGACGTTGACCGGGATGGACGGCTGTCGCGGGCTGACATAGGATGTGCCTGGGAGAGTTCTACTGTTGAGACCGCTACCGGCACTTCGAGCATCTGCGTAGGTGTCGACGTAGTGGTCCTTGGTATGGCCCTGTCTAGTTGGCCTATGAGAGGCTCATGTCGTTGGTCCCGTCGGAGGCTCTTGGACGAGGGGAGTGGCAGGTCTTGGCCCTGGTCGACCCAGAGACGCTACCGCCAGCGGCCTCACTGTTCGTCTCTAAGTGAGTATCTCTGGTCATCGCTGGTTCAGCATAACGCAGATTGGCTGGGCGCTATGATGGGTCTGGCGATCCTCTTGCTGATTACGAAGAGGTCCTCCGGGGCTTCCCTGAGGCTGTACGTGTCTCCATTAAAGACTACCTCACCTCTACAGATGGTACGGCTACTTTCATATCGATCGAAGTGGTCTCCTTCTAGTCGAGTTGACCATGACCATCATGCGCTTGGCTGTTGCGCGGTACGGACTGCTCCCGCTGATCAGCAGTGAGGGAGATGCAGTTGTCGAGGTGGTCGGCCTGATGGATGCTAATACTGATGGCCACATAGACGCCCATGAGTTCATCGATTACGGCATGGCCGTGCACAGCCCTGACGGGGTCTTTTCAATGGAGGTAGGGCCGCTGAGGGCAGCCTTGGGCCCAGCCTCGTCTTGTGCAATGCCTCAGACCTTCGACTCTCTCCTTGACATTGGTGCTGATACCATACAGATGGAGACTCTGGTGGTGTTCAGTCGACTCTGGGGTTGCCGAAGGTAGGGGATGCTGAATCGTTCCAGTTGGACCTTCTCTCTCTTTTTCCAGCGACTTGATTTCCCTCGTCGGGGCGGCCTTCAGCGCCGTCAATATGAAAGCGCGGCTCGAGATGTTGGACACTTACCATGATGGTGTCCTCTCTCGGGTCGAGCTTGTCGGTGCAGGAGGGACTGTCGGCCGCAGAGCTCTCAAGGTGGGGTGAGGAACTACCTTTTTCCCGCCTAGATGATGAGTTTATTGCCATGGTGGCCCGTTCAGTTGCTCTCGCTCATCGATATGGACAGCAGTGGGAGCATCTCTCTCGAGGAGTGGCAGCATTGGTCACGGCTGGAAGCGGCAGCGCCGATAGAACTCCGGCAAGTAGCCCTCGTGGTGGAATCGAGAGCGTCCCATGGGGCGTCGCCGTGGACCTCTGATGGGCTCACTGGGGAGGCTCGAGCCCTCGCTGGAGAATATCTGGACTATAATGGCGATGGTGAGCTCATAATCATCATACTGTCTGAGGAGGTCTGCAGGCATGGTGTCGGCGCGGGAGTTGGGCATGCTAGGGCTGCTGGGTGGTGAGGACTGGTCCCGAAAGGTATGGTATGAGCAGCTTTACTATGGGTTCGAGGCCGCTATTGGAGCCCCGTTAAGCCCGGCAATGTCGTTGTTACAAACCGACCATAAGACAATAGATGACGTACCAGACAAATCTGAACGGGGAATGGACCTGAAGAGGTTTCAAGTGGGTCCTGCCCCTCACGAGCTGTGGCTTTAGAGCTGCAATAGACGACAGGGTCAATAGCTTGTCTCTCACGGGTTTCTAGTGCTGCGGTCATTGTGACACTAAGTCATCCGTGAGATGATCTTCCTACTTAATCCTCAGGAATACCTGGGAGTTACATCTCCGAGCTCACACATTGCTGCAGTGGCAGCATTCGCCTACCTCGATACCGATGCTGATGGGAGAATCAATGCTGTGAGCGTGTCAGTCACTTGCCATTCTTGAATGCCCAAGCTGCCTGCAGGATGAAGGTCTGCGTGTCGAGGGGGTCAGAAAGTACCTCAGTGACTATGGCTTCATTCGTCTGGTATCGGACACTATAGCCGTATGGACCCAGGAGGTGTGTTTGGAATTATCTCTTTGGTCCGGTCTAGGAGCCC